CTTTTTTTTTTTTTTTTTTAAACACTTTTGAGTTGTGAACCACAGGTTGAGAAACACTGGTTTATACTACCCCTCCCTGCCCTAACAAATCTGCTCTATAGGCAGAAAAGTAGGGGCTCGAGGACTGGTTTGGTAGTTTGGTTTTTAATGCTTAACTTTTTTTTAACATAACATAATAAAACCATTTATCAACAAGTTTGATTTCTTCACCTGTCGATTACATGCGCCTTCCCTATATTTTGCCAGCTGCTAAGGTCAGTAGCATAAAGCAAGGAATTTTGCTGTTCAACGGATCAGAAAATAAAATGACTAGTCTCCTTGGAAGCCATAGATCATAAACTTTCAGCTAATGACTAAGAGAAAATATATCGTGTCAGACTCAGGATTCCTGCCCAACCTCTTTTAGCAGTTAAAGTCTTCCTCTCTCAACAAAGACTTGACATCAGTCATCCACACTGAGTCTTTGGCTGCACCCCCCTCTCTTTTTACTCTCTATGCTCTGCCTCCTCTGCAGTTCCAGAGCAGATGCACTGTCAATTGTTGATGTAAAGTGCTGACTCTTCAGCTCAAAAATGTAGGGCCTTGTCTACTATACTTGCATATACTGTCCAGCAGGTCCTGGATTTTACTCCTAGTTCCACCTGACTCACTATGTGACCTTAATCTTTGTTTTCTCGCCATAAAAGCATGATAATACTTCTACAACTTACAGGAGAGGTATGGAGAATTAGTTTGTTGTCACAGCGCCTTGAACAAGAAAAGCGCTAAGCATCCTCAGTACTCCGTTCACTCTGCTGCTGCTAATACAATGCAGGGTCACGTGGCTGGGAACGCAGAGAGAAAGAATACGAGGGAAACAAGAGACAGTCTAGTGGAATGGAAAGCCTGGTTCAGAAAGATGACAGGAGTAAATGGGTGGGGGGAGGGAGAAGAACAAATCAATTCCCACTGGCATGAAACATATGGCTGCTTAACTACTGTTAGTTAATTAAGTGGGAAAAGGCATCATCATCTTGTATTATTTACTGGCTGGGCTGGGGGCAGGGGGCATGAAATCAATTTTTTAGCATTTCTTTATCAGGAACCCACTAACATCTGAATGCCACATCTGTTCAATCCCAAAGTTTCAGAGAACACTCTAGGCACAAATAACCAGAGCCCTATTAGTCTAAAGGGAGGAAAAGAAAAAGTCAGGAAACCAAAAGGTAGAAAAATCAGATACCTGAAGCCCTTGCCATCCGTTTCATGCAACTACAGAGTCAAGCTGCTCTGCACAGATGAAACAGTTGGTTGATGGCACTAATTAACACCTTCCAACACACTATCCCACCTCCTCTTGGACTATCCTCCCACTGGAGTTGAAAACACCATCCTGAAGGATTTATCTGCCAGATGAACAGTGGTGAGGGCAGAAGAGAAGGGAACACTGGTGTACATAAAGCCACAGCACCACACAGAGGCAAGTACTCTACTTCTAGCTTTGGTTGTAATGTGTACAGAGCAGCATGGCTTGTTTTGGCATAGTGCTGCTTGGCATGGTAAAGTTAAGCATATAACCATTTCCTTAGAGAGAAAGGGCAGAGTCCCTTCACGTATACAGCATGTGAGGAAAGGTTCCCAGACCAAGGCTGTGCTGTCAAATCCCCCACCAAGCTGCCAAAACCTGACCTGCTGTTCACTGGGCCTTTTATCTTCACAGAAAGTCTGCTGGCCCGTCCTCAGAAACCCTGTTGTTTAAATAGTGGATGCAAGAATAATCACAGACCAAGGACGATGCAAAAGGAAATCAAGACCAATGCAGGCGGAGTTAGTTTCTTTTTAAGCTTTTGTGGTCTAGTGTTCAAGGAGATGGAGGACTGGGGCCGCCTTTGATTGGCAATATTCTTCAACATGCCTTTAATTCCAAAAGTTCCCATTCTCAAGCAATGGTAATAGGGGCATGTTAGTTGCAATGAAGGGAACCAGGATGCCACTGTTCAAATCATAACGTCTGGAAAAAAACAGGAATTACATACTTGGTATGCTTCTCCTAAGTTGTGCAAGTAAGTGTGTAGTAAACTGAACAAAAAGATACAAAAGCCCATTGTGTACAACACAGATTTGGGATGGAGCCCTGCCCCACTCCAGTCAACAGGAGTTTTACCCATCATGGTGAAAACAGCCTGAAAATTTAAGAAGTCAAGTTCAGAGCGTATTGTACCACACCTGCTACTAAAAGCAGCTAAGACCATCCAATCTAAATGCTGAACTAGACAAAAGTGACAAGTTTAAATGCTGTTAAAGATATGGCTCACGGAACAGTGTAATCTAGCTCACGGGGCCAGAAATATGGCAGTGGGACAGGTGGTGCCAAATGTAAATTCCCATAGTTCCCACAGGTGCAACCACCACTCATCTTGCCACCAAATTTCCCACCTGCAGACAGCCATGCAGGCCAGATGATACTTGGATCTGGCTGGTGGGGAGCTTCATAACAAGGTGAGCAGCAGCTGCCACAGTTCCATGAAACACAGCAATTAACATTAGCACCCCTTTCTCCACTACTGCATTTTCAGCCTCAGAGGCAGCCCTGAAGGCCCACAGACCAGCCCCATGCTGCTACTCCTGCTTTAAGGGAAACTGCAGCCAGCTCAGTCTACACTGATAACCAGTTTCCTTCACCACACAGGATTTTAGCACTTCTGTAACATAGACATATGTCAGCCTTAAATCGGTAACCTTTAATGAGAAGAGTCACCAACTGAAACAAAAAGACATGACTGGTTTTGGTTGCTATTTGCTTAGCCTCCCTTTAAAAAAGGGTGTTTTCCTTACTATGCAAGCAAAAATCTCTCTCAGGTCCATGGCCTATGCAAAGGCCACTGGACTTGGGCTTCACACTTTTTGGAAACCCCTTCAATTATCACAGCAATGGCCAGAGAACTGAATTCTCCCAAAGACTTCTGAAACTTCCCTGAAGATGCTGCATATTTAGAGTCTTTCTACTTTAAGGTTAAGCAGATGGATCATTTTTAGATTATCAAAAGAACAGGTACTGGGAACTGGAAGGGTACCAGGGCATATGAAAGAAACAAGAAATGCCTAAGAGCCGGCCTCAGGCAGCAGGGTTTTTTTAGGAAGAAGAGGAGGGTATATGGATAACCCAGAAGTTAGATTTTTTTGTGGGAGCCAGAAGTTCTGGATACACTTTCTGCAACTAACAGTGTAACTAAGCAAATAATTCTATTCCAGTATCAGTGAAAATGAATCAAACTCTTGCCTTAACTCAGAGGGTACAGCACAACTTTAAAAGTGCAGTGTCAGTTCCATGTAGGCTCTAAAACAAAATTTAGCAGAACTGAATGAACATCAGCAGTAACCAAAATATTCACTGAAAACTATTTTTAGACTAGCAACCTCTCCCTGTATTATTTGCAGCCTAATAATTACAGATGCCTGTTAACACAGAGTAACCAGATGCAGACTATTAACAACCGATATGGACACTCATTGTTGTCCAAGCCAAGAAAGAAAAGCAAAGTCCAGTTTTTTTAAACTA